GGGGCCCTCTGGCATCCCAAGCCAGTTCTTAACCACTGCGCCACTCGGCCGGCCCCTGTTAGAATTTTTTTTAATAAACACTGTTAAATATGTGGTGTGACATTGACATTAGCATAAGAAGTCTGTCTTACAGGGGAGTAAAAGAAGAAAACAGCAGAAAGATCCACTCTGTAGTGAATGCATTTGTCAGTAAAAACTTAATATCTGTGGCATTCTTCTTGGCCAAGGAAGCATTAGCTCTGTCAGCTACCCCACAATAGGATACTTCTTACAGTTCTGTTAATCCCCTATAATATGCTACTTTTTATAATTAGGTATTTTTACTTGTAAGCATCAGAGACTCCCTCAGGCAGGTTCATGTAAGGGATCGGCAGAGTGGTAACAACACTCTTGGAAGCAGGAGTTCTTGGATCTTTATAATGCTCCCCATTCTAATGTAAACTCAGCTCCTCTCTCTGTGTTTCCTTCTCTGTGTGGGTCCTCACTCTTTCTGCTACTACTGACTTTCCTCATAATCTGTTCTGTGTATCTTTTCTCTGCTGCGTAACTTCTTCCTCCTAACTTCTTTCTCTCGTAGCTCATCATAGACCCTCTAGCTTCTTGATATCTCATGACCTTTCAGCTTCTGTTCCCACTGCTTGGTACCTGATTCTTTCCACATTTCTAATTTTACATGTCTAGTTTATGAATATTGTTGGACCATCCCCACGTTGTGTGGGCAGAGTTTTTATATATGACGACTACACAGGCTCATTTGTAGCCTAGAGGTGGGCTTGCAAAGTGAGACCAATGTGATGAGTTAGTGAGTGGCTCTGGAGGGTGTCCCTAATGGGACTGGGACTGTGTTTTTAAATGCAGTTTCTTTCTTTGTCATCATTGTCTCTGCTCATGTCATTCCTATCTCAATGTATTCTCAGCTCAGCAGCCAGTTACCTTTTAAAATGTGTATTAGATCATGTCACATCTTTGTTCACAACCTCCTAATGATTTCCCATTTCAGAGTAAAGGTTAAGGTCCTTGGTGGGTAAGGTTCTAGGATCCTAAGGATCTAAGGAT